GTTTACGTACCCGAAATCGGCGCTTTCCGTCGTCGCCCCCGCGGTTTTAAAAGCTAGGTTTTAGCGGTCGAAAAACTTTGCGTGTAAACAGGCTCTGATTACCAAGTGTGAGGATCTAGGATCGCTGCAGCTACCGCCGCCGCTACAGCAGCTGCCGCTGCCGCTACACCCACTGCCACTGCAACTGCAGCCCCCGGTGTCGCTACAGCCGCCGCTATTGCTGTAGGTACAACCGCCACAACCGCCACTACTGCCGCTGCAACTACCGTCGCTGCCGCTACATCCACCCGCTGCCACTGCAGCTACTACCGCTGCTGCCGCTACAACTGCCGGTGCAGCCGCCGCCCCTGCCGCTGCCACCCCTGCATTAGTGCTGCTGACTACCGCTGCCTACCATGGCCACGCCTACTGTACTCACCTTTGACACAAAGGGACGCCTGATAGAGTACTAGTCCTGGCAGCTAGACCTACACTTGTATTTGCAGAGCGTTACCAACGATGACACCTCGTTGTTTGAGCACACGTCGGGGTCCCTCTCTGACCCCTGCCGAGCCGACTCACCCTGGCCCAACTGCTACTGCCAATCAGCTCCAGTAGTTAAGGACAGAGCGTATTGCCCATACACAATGGTTAGCACGCAACGCTACTGCTCAGCTTGCAGTCCACAACCACCTCCCGCCAGACCAAAGGTCCCACTTTCGCTAGCTCAAAACGGCCAAAAACCTCTATAACACTGTAGTTAAGGCTACTGCTCCCCGTCTTCTACCACCCCAGAGGATGAGCAGATGCGCGGCGTATCAGACCACAAACGGCCACAGAAAATGGGGAGCAGCCACATGGATCATGGATGTGCAAGCAACCTCCATGATTAAGCCAATGCGACGCTCAGTGTACCCATTATGTTGTGGAGAGGCCGAAAGCGTGAACGACTAGGTGATGCCCTCCTCACGACAAAACTCAAGGAGATTGGAGGAAAACTCACCTCCACAGTCTGAGTATAGACGGAGCACTGGGAGTTCCTGGCGGAACCGTGCGCTTAGCTGGCGACGAATAGCGCGGATCCAAGGGAGCAAAACAACATGGACGTCTCCCTTGCGCTGCAAGAGAAACACCGTGGTGTAGCGCGTGAAGTCGTCAACAACGAGCAGAAAGTAGCGCTCTCGGCGCGGCCTAGAGACGGGGGAAGGGCCCCACACGTCCATGTGCAGCGTCTGCACACGAGCAGTGGTCGGGGGAAATGAGGAGGAGTGAGGAGCAGTGCGTTGCCGCCCCTCGACGCAAGGAGTGCACGGTGGCGCAAGCGACTAGGGAAGCGAGGGCAGAGACCTCGGAAGCCCAAAGACAAGGAGATGGGAGTGCATGCTATGCAGACTACAGCGAGGGGTGAACAAATCAGTGGTGCCAGAGGAGGGACGGGTGCGTGAGTAACCGATATGAGCAAGTCATTACCTGGCCGGACGAGGTCACCTGAGCAGACTCAGTGTGCGGTCTATATAGGCCAGACCTAGGCCTCCGGGTGAACATGGCGAGGTGGTCGCCAGTCAATGTGTCCGTACAGATCGCCACGCGCTCGCCCCCAGGAGTGGTGGTGGTGACCATCATGTCCTGGAGGTGAGCGGTACTCACCAAGTTCATAGCAAACGAGGGGAGGAGAAGACCTAATAGGGAGCCAGATGGGGCTGCTGGACAAGGGAGAACAGAGGAGCCGCGTGCAACGACTGGGCCCGAGGACGGGTCGGCCAGGGTGACAGGGACAGGTGCTGTGAGCGGTGTGACTGTGGTGCAGTCGCGGAAGAAGCACCTGGATGCGCGAGAGTCCAGCGTGAAGGTGTGCAAGGCCTCTGCATGAACTGCACCTGTGCTAGCAGTCTCACAAGCACCTACACTAGCAGCCTCTACACTGCCAGATCTAGGCACATACGAGTAATAGTCACCCTCAACACTAGCAAAAACAGCATACATAGCATACATGCAAGCAGAGATCTGGTCCCAATCAAGAGCAAAGACATCTACGCCCTTCTTGAGCAATCCTAGTCAGGCAGACAACTTGGCCTTCTCACCAACCTCTGCGCAAAAGGCGTCGTCGAGGCGGTAGAAGCACCGATATTCAGTGTGCCCTAGCCTATCGCAGGCCTCACTGGGGTGGGGACAGTGCGCCGGACGCACTGGCAATGACCTCCGCCTTTGGAGCCGCCTCGCTGGGCAACCCACTCACGCAGCTGTTGTGGCGAGAGAGTCTACTGGTGACGTAACTGCTGTTGCTGCCCACCCCCAAAGCCTCCACCTCCGCCAACTGCACCACCAGACGTAGTTCCATGGCCTCCACCCCCGCCAGCTCTACCTTGACCGCCACACGAGCCCCCTCCACCAACCCCGCCTCTCCAACTGCCTCCACCACCCCCGGCACCTCCACCGCCACCTCAGCCACCCCCGCCACCGCCACCTCCATCACCACCCCCGCCCCTGCCACTGCTACCGCCACCTCCACCACCCCCACCCCTAGCATGCGCACCCATGCCGCGGTGCCTCCCACTAGAGCAGAGGCAGCACCGACCTCCTCAGCATCAAGGAGGTCAATAGCAGCAGCAGAAGCAACAGTAGGCGCTAGGAGGGAAGGGGACCACCCTTCAAAGAAGGCGCTAGGAGGGGCGGGGAGTGCCATGGGAGGCAGCTACAGTACAGACACTGGTCTCAGCCTTGAGGAGACGGGACTCAAACGAGGCATGGTTGAGCTCGGTGGGGTCTAGAGAGAGGAAGTGGTATCTAATGGTGCGAAGAGAGTTAGAGAGGTGAGTTGTGAGGAATTAGAGAAGCAGCCAAGACACGTACTCTATCGGGCGGCCCTGTGCGTCAAAGGTGAGTATAGTAGGCGTTGCCATGGTAGGCAGAGGCAGGCAGCCATGGACGCAGAGATGGCATCCTGGAAGTCCACAGGCACCTACGTCGATGCAGTTCCCCCTCGTGGGGCAAACATAGTCGATGGCATGTGGATTTTCTGGGTGAAGCGGTCGCCGGGTTCCTCGCGTGTCTTCAAGACGCATTACGTTGCACGATGCTTCAGTCAGTGACAGGGGTCGACTCCTTCCAGACCTTCTCCTCACCCCGAAGATGACCACTTTTCGGGTACTACTGCATGTCGCAGCACAGCGTGACTACGAGCTGCACTCCCTCGACTCCTCGACAGCTTTCTTGTAGAGCAGCCTCCACGAGGAGATATAGCTATGCCGCCCAGCTAGCACGACACACTGAGGACGACACTTGCGGCTCTTGGCTTAGCTTCTTTGACTACTAACCCGTCATTGTTTCTGCGCACCAACCCTTATCTGTCGCCGTTCTACATCTTCGTGTACCTCGGCGACCTGGTCTTTAGGACTGCTGATACCGAGGCACTGCCCCTTGTGAAGGCGGAGCTGCAGAAGAGATGCACCTCCACTGGCCTGGGGGAGCTGCGGAGCTACCTTGGCTTGCGGATCACCCGGGACAAAGCAGTGCGCACCATCACTCTGACTTACTAGCACATTGTGCACCAGGTCCTTCAGCGCTTCCGCTTTCAGTTCTCCTCGCCACAGCCCACTCCTCTACCTACGGGACACTCGCTTTCAGCTCCACGTTCGGACGAGTCCGTAGAGCCAAGGGGTCTGTATCCAGAGCTTGTGGGTTGCCTTATTTACCTGATAACTTGCACTCGGCCTGACTCGCGTTCCCTCTCAGTATCCTTGCGCGCTACGTTGCGCCTGAGAGACACACCCCTAAGCAATGGTGGGTTGCTACAAGGGTGCTATTTACTTGGCCAATACATTAGGCATGGGGCTTGTGCCTGGGGGACTGGGCCCGATTGTGCTCACAGGGCACTCGGACTAGGCCTCTCGCTAGCAGGAATTTTTGTCATGTTTGCCTAATAATCAGACTTTTTTTTTTTTTTTAATTCTTCTGTTTTTCCAGTCGCGATCAGACAAAACCAAGATAATGCCCGGAGGGGGGCTCTTGACGAATCAGGGCATCCTCAGATCCTAGGGAGAGCCCTGGCTTAGACGCTTCTTGGGCTGACAACCACGCAACTCAGCAGACGTCACACGGTTACACTTTCAGACTTGGCACTGGTTGTGTCTTGTGGAGGTCCACTTGCTCGTCTTTTGTGCTTAGCTCCAGCTGTGAGGCCGAGATCTACGTTCGGGTTATGGCTGCACAGGAGTTACGCTGGCTGACCTACTTCCTGATCGACTTAGGTTGGTCATGGAGAAATGCCTGCCAAGATCGTAGCACGCATCTAAGTCGCCCCCGCGAGGGCCGATGCTCTTCTCGTGAAGCTCGATTGTGGTGCGTGCACGCTTTCCGTTGTCATCTGCAGATGTGGCCGCAATCCGCTTTGCTAGTGGATTGATGTCATTTTTCTATGCGCGCAGCCACTTGATGCTGATCTGGTTGTGTTCGCGTTAAAGAGAGCTTCCGTTTAGTACCGGTATATTTTTTTTGCCATTATATAAGAGCATGCGCTTATAGATTTAGACCTATTAGAAGCACGACCCCCCCAAGAAACGAACTTTATGATAAACGCTGGTGTGCTTATGACCTCGGGGACACAGTACGTCTTATCTTGTACTGGTAACATATTCTACTATACCGTAAAAGGAACTTCTGGATATAAGAAAGCACCCATATTAAAGACACCCATGTATTCAGTTAAACAATATCCTCTATTCAAGCGATGATGCTAGGAATACCAACAATGCATTCCACTCTTTTTCTAGATAAACAAAAATGTCAGACTAAAACACTTTTAAATGCCTGAAGGTGCTGAAAAAGAAAAGGGGCCAAGGCAACTAAAAAACAAAACAAAACAGCATCTCATATGAACTGAACACTTGCATGGAAATCATCCATTATACAAAATTCCCATCACATTTCTAGACATGGCGTTCGGTGATGAAGCTGCCGTCATCCCCAATCATCTGGAGCTGTGCCTCGAGACTTTCCACACCTCCAAAAGCATCTTTCATCTCCTAGACCTCAGCATCCACCTTAATGGCAGCGCTGTGCCCATCTTTTCCCGCCACCTCCTCCCTGACTGCCTGCAGCTGGGTGGCAACTTCCCCCATGCTTGGGCGGCCTGCAGTGCGCTCCATGGTGCAGCTCACTGCCAGCTGAGCCACCTGCAGAACAGCATCTTCGGGGGCGTCCATGGTGGGGGGCTTGAGGCTCGCAATGTCACCCGAGGACAGACACTCCGATGCCTGGAGGAACGGAGGAGGATCGGAAATAGTGCAAGGACAGTGTGAGCAAGCCAAACAAGAAAAATCTTGCGCTTGTATCGAGGAAATGCGGCTACATTGAGCATGAAAAAAGCTGCCTTTGGGGAACTCACCCACGGGGTGATCTGCTTGGTCTCCCCGGCATCCTCGGCGAGCGGAGGGCGTCCAGTGAGCACCACAAGCATGAGCACACCAAAGCTGCACCGAGCGAGAGATAGGGAGAGCAGCGCGAGGGCGAGATGCATAAAAGAGAGTATCCCGAGAGGTTGGTGATGGTAAATGACAGATCTGCAAGCAAGCTAGAAAGTGTGCAGCTGAGAATGGCTCATTAGATCGGACAAGCAAGAGACATCACTCAAGCAAGTCAACCAGGCTGGACGAGTTGGCAAGCTAGCCAGGGGGGCAAGTGGCCACCATAGAACCTCAGCCAACTCGCCAAACACCCATATGAATCATCATGCGCTCCAGTGGGTGAACGATTAAGCAGAGATAAAAAGCCCACCCAACTTCCACAAACTGCGTAGTGTAATCTACACGTGAAAAAAAGTGACATTGCACGGTTTGAACATGACACGTGGCTCACCTGTAGACATCGCTGGTTGTGGTGGCCTTGGACGTCCGGGAGTAAACCGGATCCACATAGCCCGGTGTTCCCATGATTTGCGTCGTGCCCACTGTCGTGCCCTCTCCCACCCTCACCAGCCCAAAGTCTGCAATCTTGGGCTGGTGGGTGGGTGATTGATTTGAATGATTGAACGCAGAACACACAAGGGGATGGATGATGGAGGAAGAAACATATGAGATCCTTTGGTGCCAACTCAGCATTGCATCTTGACAGGAGAAACACAAAGAGTGCGACTGATTAAAATGAGCTTGAACACACAACCTCTGTATGTAGGGCCCTTGAGTGGTATCCGTGGAACTAACTGTATCTGTACGGCTCTTATTGGAACTAACCGTGGAACTATGTGTGGTATCTGTACGGCTCTTATTGGAACTAACTGTGGAACTATGTGTGGTATCTGTACGGCTCTTATTGGAACTAACCGTGGAACTATGTGTGGTATCTATACGGCTCTTATTGGAACTAACCGTGGAACTATGTGTGGTATCTGTACGGCTCTTATTGGAACTAACCGTGGAACTATGTGTGGTATCTGTACGGCTCTTATTCTGACTGCTTCTAGACACCACCATGCTCTTCCACCATGAACGAACACGGGAACAGACGATGGAGGAAGAAATACGAGATTCTGCGTGTGTCCATCCAGCATTGCATTTTGGCAGGAGAAACACAAAGAATGCCACTAAGGATGAGCCAGACACATAAACAGAGATGGACGTGGGACTTAGCACACAGTCTCCATATTCGTGAAACTCATGGGTCTAGCTCGACAACATCATGTATTCTGCCGTGCATCCATCCCTGTGCAACCACACGTGCCTGCATGTCAGAGGTGATGAGAACATTGGCGGGCTTGATGTCGCGATGCACAATGTCAAAGCTGTGGAGGTACTCATAGCCACGTGCAATGCCGATGAGAATGTCCAGCCGCTGCTTCAGACTCAGAGGGGATGGTGCTTCTGCAACAAGCCATGGGAAGCCACGGGATGAGTTTCACAACAAGCATCAGGCAGCATGAGTGGCCTGGCAAGGACGCATCAGGGACGCATTTCACCAAGACGTATGACCAAGGCTACGAAACAAGCAGTAAATGTTCGATTATATATCCAGCCTTCTCCTATCGACAGCAGGTGTGTGAATGTAATCTCCATGACCCCATACACGCTTCCACGACCGTACATCCGAGTGGTGCCATACAATGACTTGCACACTCACTTGGTCCGATCCACCTGTCAAGGTCACCGTTGGGCACAAACTCATAAATCAAGATCTGCTCTATCTTTGACCTGACGTCCCCTCCCACCGCAAACCCCAGCAGTCGCACAATGTTGGGATGGTTCTTGTCAGCCATTTGCAGAATCTAAAGGGACAGAAAACCAACACGCAGGAACAGAAAAGGTAAAAAAAAAAGAGCAGAGTGAGAGCAACAACAGAGGATAGAAAAGAGAAAGAAAGAAAAAAAGGATATGTAGCCTTTATTTGTGATGTAAGCAGTAGTGATTTGATGTATACAACGCCCATGTCAATGCAATCTGCTGTCCAGCCATCTCCCGATATGCGGCTCGCTCACCTCCCTCTGGAAGTCCATGTCTATGAGCTTGGCGCACTTGACAGCCCAGGGTGTGGTGCCATCGCAGGGAGAGACGCCCTTGTAGACATCACCAAAGGCACCCGAGCCAAGCAGGTTGTCGTCGGACCAGTCGTTGGTGGCCTTGAGCACCTCGTCCAGGGCGAACTCCGTGCAGTGCGCCGCTGCCAGGCTGGTCCCCAGGGCTGCTCGTCGTCGGGTGGGTGGGGTCAAGTCAAGGGGCAGGAAAGGAAGAAGATGCCGTTGGTACCAGTTCATTTTGCCAGCAACCACCAGCAGCGAAACAGGAGCTTGCTTGCATGTACTGGGCAGAATAGGGAAAGGGGTGTTGAGGAGCAAGGCAAAGGGAACTGTTCCGATGTTCTGTTGTCATCCTACCACTCGACGCTGACGTGCTCGTTCGTTCGTACCTGATTTCTGCTGCATCTTGTGGCGAACGTAGAGCAGCACGGCAAGCAGAAGCAGCAGAATGACCACGGAAGCAACGCAAATGCCAACGATGAGTCCCAGTGATACTCCTCCTCCACCTCCACCTCCAGATCCTGACTCGCTGTTGG